TTGTTGAAACATTGTTTCTTTTCTCCATAAATGATTTCAGTTAAACTTGATTAGTGATATTATACTCATTAAATAAATTAACTTTGTTAAATTACATGTCAATTACGGAACAGTTTCTTATGACGACGTAAATGTACATCACTAACAGTGTTTTGTCTATCTAATTGAAAAAAAATATAAAATGAGGAGAGTAAGAGCAATCTCACTTAAACTAGTTATCAACATTATATGTATATATATATATATATATATATATATATATATATGGGTTGAATCAGTTTTCACATGTTTACGTAATGTGTATAGATATATATACATAAGATAGGGAGATTACTACAGAGCTTTCACACACACACACACACACTCACTCACAAACCAGTCAATACACATACATAAAAAAGGGCCCTAAAAGAGAGTACTAATCATTATCACTTTATAATAGATGCGTAATAATTTTTCTCTCCTATTAATAAAACTATATTTCTTATCGATTCATTTATGTAGATTTAACTGATGTGCAAAAATAATAATGATAATAATGCCTATGGTTCTACTATAGGTGTAAATATATGTTTGGATACAAGTATTATATGTCTAGAATACACTCCTCATACATAGATTACCATTGTTTAGCTATAATTAATACTAATACTAATAATACTAATGACGTAAATGATGAAAAGTGATCATGAAGCACACAAATGTACCATCTTAAGTGGTTGACTTATTAATTAAAATTGTTATATATATATATGTCTATAAATGTTGTTCCAACATGAAGTGTATGCAGTCTGTCAATAAAACATAAAATGTTAACTGGTCTAATTCTCTGCATGTGCTTATGATGTGCTCATTAAAAAACTGACCTATTTATTAACCATACTATTATTATTATTAATATTATTATTACTCAAACTGTGAATCTTTCAGTGGTTTCCCCATTTTCTTTTCCTAGCTAATTGTTGTGTTTTCTTTGACTGACATTATGTCCTCTTAGATAGATAATGCCATAGTTTGCTTCGTTTCTATGTTTATCCTGATTAAAGTCCATTCATTAAACTAATCATTTTACTAAATAACTTTAACGCACTTATTTAACTCCTTTTATGCGTTGACTATTGAAGTCCAAGAAGAAAGCACTGAAAACACACCCACAGACTAAAACAGATATGCTGACGCCATTATTGTAAAATATTTTAAAGAAGGGCTACTTTGTCAAGCTACCGAAAAAAGGGGGAACTTATGCCCCTGCAACAACTGGCGTGGAATAATGCTATCGTCTATGCTAACGAAAATACTAAGTTGCGTCATCTCAGATGGATGCACAACTCTGCCCGGAACAAGCTGGATTCAGGAAAGGCAAATCATGTGCCGATCAGATGGTGACTGTACATATCATCATCGAACAAAAGCATAGAATGGCAGTCAAATCGCTGTCTACCTCATCTTCATCGAATTCAAAAATGCCTCAGACAGTGAGCGTTGACCGAGAAGTAATTTGGAAACTGCTTAGACACTACAGCGTGCAGTGATCAAGACTTTATCAACCTCATTCAATAGCTGGCTAAATGACAATGGAACATTTCAGGTGATCCACAACGGAAAACTCAGCGAGGCCTCCTGTTGAAGTGAATACAGGAGTAAGAAAGCTGGTTGCCTACTGTCACTGATGCTTTTCCTAATTGTGGTGGATTGAATAATGCCTGAGACTGTGAGGAGTGAGAAGAAAGGAATACGCTGCGCTGACCGATAAGACGACTCGATAAGATCTGGACTTTGCGCGTGGATGATTTATTTCAGGTGTCACATTGGCTCGAAGACTTGCAAGTGAAAACTAACAAACTGGTAGAACTGGCATGCAGGCAGTGAAGACAGGACTACAAGTGAAAATAGAGGAGACAGAGGTGATGAAGATAATCAACGAACCGCAACGACAACAGCAACAACCAGCACCAGTCACCATCAATGGGAGAGATTTAACAGAGGTTACTTTCTGCCTTCACTTTCCGGCTAGGAAGCATCTTTTCAACAACATGCGGATGGCGTGGATGAAGATGTCAAAACTAAACCAGCCAGCCAGAATCGGAAAGACAAAATATGCCTTCATCAACGTGAAATCATTTTGGAAATCTTCCGCATTCAGCCAGCATAAGGAACAGGATTCGGATTTTGAACATCAGTGTTAAGTCAGTCAGTTGTTTTTCATATGTCGGAAATTTGGAGTGTCGCGAAAAGGATTTCCAACAGGTTGCAAACTTTTATGGACAGCTGTCTTCGCTTTATACTGAAGGTCAAATGCCGGCCAGAAGGAATTAGCAACAATTAACTCTGGATGGGAACAAACACTCGAATAGTCGATTGCTCTACAAATATGTAGGGGAAAATGGAGATGGATTGGGTACACACTGAAGAGGCCGTCGAATGGCATCGCACGTGATGCAGGCCACGCACCTACGTTCCCAGTGGAACATATTACTTCAAGTTAGAGCTTTGAAGTTTCGGTAACAGTGGTATTTATTTTTACGGGATGGGGTTGTTAACCTCATACCCAATCCTCAATCTTCACCAGTCTATTTACTGGCTTAGCGAGGTAAAGGAGTGGATCGAACGCCGTACCACATGTATGGATAGGGATTATTCTTGAATTAATGAAGGTCTGTCTTGCTTTTCCGATCCTGCCCTTGATGTTTTCATCTGTGACGACGGCAGTTGAAACATTGCTGCCTAGATAAGTGAAAGGGGTGACTTTAGTTAAGTTCCTCCCGTCGGTAGTGATTGATGCTGGTTAGGTATCTTCATCACCTTTATCTTCTGCATGTTCACTTGGATTTCTGTCTACGTTAATTTTTCTGCAAATTTATCGCTTTATATGACATCAGAAATAAATCCTCTACGAATTCCAGATCTTCTACAGTCTTTCTGTTAGTTCAACGTATGTCTATCTACTCTTTGCCACCGCCACCCCCCCTCCAGAGTCTGGGCACGTTCCAATCCACCACGATCATGAATATCATCGATGTTTGTAGGCATAACTGTAATAACCTTTTACAAAACCATTCGTCATTTGGCTACATAAGATTAAGGTAATTTAACTTTGATTTAATCATATATACTACTTAAATAAATGCGATTAATCAATGTCAAAAACAACCTACTCTATATTCCATTTTAAACTGCAAGGCGTAAATAAATACAAATCGAATGCACGAAGCTAATGACTAATATTGTAAATTATATTTCTTGTTGTTATGACTGTTATTGTTGTATTGGACGGTAATGAAAACTCTGATAACTGATCAAGCCAAAGTTTAATTAAACGTTCGTGTATATCATCAGGTGATTAAACAGTTTACTTGGCGGGAAGAAAGATTGAACACCCTATTGAAGACTTGAGTGTCAATTAACCTCTATTTTGGACAGTGAATTGATCAGCTAAGATCAAACGTGTTAACTAACTGTTTGGATCAAAACTAATGGATTGATAGCTGAAGAAACCTAAGCAGTGGAGCCAAAATGCTCATCATGGCATTTGTCAACTTGTGTCATTTTCAGCGTAGATGTTATATTCGGTTATCTATTAATGAACATGTGTATATCACAGTGATTCGTTATATTCTGGTTTACAACCATAAGATATGATGCTGAAAGTGGAAGATATGAAGAGGCTGACTGTCTTTGATCGCAACTGTCTGTAATTTATCTCTCCTCCTAAGTGGTATAATATTGTCAATCAACAAGCTTTTGAAGCAGTATCGATTGAGATGGCTGACACACATGTTACTCATACCAAGCCATGGCCTTCCTCTTAAAGCAGGTTTAGTTTACGTAGGATTAAGATGGAAAAAATATGAATATGGTTTGAGTCACATAGGGATGTATAGACAGCCTGATTAAGAAACCATAGCTTATGACTATTGGTGATATGGCTTAAAGTTGTTCTTAGTGTCACAGATATATTAAATTCTCATTATTTTCTTTGTGATCATTCTTTCTCCTTTAAGTTTTTGTTTACAATGACCGTTTTGGATTTCTATTTGTTACTACTTCTATAAGTGCTTTATGAATTCTGTTAACCTGAACTACTGCCTTGTTGCGCTTAAGATCCACTTCAGTTCAGTTTACCAAATCTCTGAACCTAGTGATAGTCATATATATATATATGTTCGTCAGTGGTTCAGAGGTAGAACACCTGCCAATCATGTTCGTAGTCCGAGGTTGGGTCCTCGGCCAACGCACTTTTAAAGCCGATAGTAAGGCCAATAAAGAGGGAAGGTCGGGGGTAAGGGTAGCAACCCCACCTCGTAACAATAACACCGCTGCTACCGAAACTTCAAACCTCTTACTTGAAGCCCTATATTCCACTGGGTGCGTAAAGAAATAGAATTAAAATTTATATATTTTTCTTTGAGATTGAAGGTTTCTTACTATCCAACTTTCTAGTCTCAATACGTAACATTTTAACTAAATTAGGAAACAAATGGATAAGGTTACGTGAAAAGAAATTGTCAGTTATAAAATCATGTATAACCATCACTCTTGTTACTACTAATTGTCAAACACGTTCAAAAACTGATTTCGCTTGTTAAAGCAAATAAGTGTCCACGGAAAATCATATCGACGAGGTAGTCATTCGATTTCTTTTTCATAATTTACTATGAGGAAGTTATTTTTGGTGTCATTACTTATTCGACAAATCATCCAATTAAATGTAGCGTAATGCTCATGTCTCATCTGTTGTTATCTTATGTACTGCATTTGGTGCTATTTCCATTTCTGGAATAACATCTTCAGGGGTTTCAGTTTCTGGGGGACGTTAGACCCTTGTTTAAAGACTGATAGCCCATTTCTGTTTAATGATGACCGGTCGTGTCTTATTGCTATATATATATATATATATATATATATATATATATATATATATATATATATATATCACTCGATTCGACCTACATTGCTTTACATGTGTTCTGTTTATTTTTTCTTCTCTCAACATTATCTAGACATCAGGCGGCTTTATCAGATCATAAAAAACGTGTTCATGGTCCACGTGAATATATTTGTGGTATATGCTCAGCGGATTTTGCTACTGAAACATATTTACGTTCACATGTACGCATTCATGATGAAAAAAGATATATATGTTTAGAGTGTAAACATGGCTTTTCAAATCCTTCTGATTTAAAAAATCATATGAGAATACATAATGGAGAGAAACCATTTGAATGTGAAGTAAGTTGATTTTAAGATTATATAATCTCCATTGCATTTTTTTTGAGTTGTGTTCAATTTAACTTGGTTTATAATAATATTTGTAAGCGTTAAGTAAGCGTTATGTTGAGAAGTCCTTGTGTGTTTATTAGGTTTACTCAAAATTTCATAGTCCTTCTCAGTGAAATATCTGGAGAATTTATGTCCATGTATAGAATTATTGCTTTAATCTTTTGTGAAACATTAAATGTGAACTGATATCAATAACTTAGATCATGAAATGATATCATTTTGAGGACCACTGAAAACCAGGAAGTACTGGACAGCTATTCCCTCTTATCTTTGGACTCCCCATCAGTGGCTATACATCACTGTCCTGGAGATCGCACCCAAAGCCTTGAGGTTGAGAAGTGAGCCCACTGACTGCACAGTCAGTAGATGAAATCAAATGGACGATGAATTCTAGCTTCTGCCAATTCATGGTATATACGAACGGTTAAAATAATTATGTAATCTTGGTCAACTAAAGTTATCTACAGGTACGATTTGATTCAATTTGTATTTTCTGTCGTCTAGTGGCATGCTTATGTTTGTGACATTCGACTTCCTTATTGAAGCGACTATAGTACATTTTACCTTGAGAACTTTGACTGAAAAGTAAAAAAGAAATAAGCTTCAGGGGAATCACACTGTAGTGACAGAAGGCAAGACACGGATACAAAGGGATATTTTCCATTGATCAAACTGCAATTTATGTATAAACGGTGTATATTCTTTAACTAATCGTCAATTAGCGTGTGATTTTGGTTTACATTAGACAACATGAAATAGAATGTTGAAACATATATAGTGTTATGTTGCTAATGCAGTATTGAGCTGTGGGAATATGTGAGAATAGTATTCTGTTGAAACACATTGTCTGTATCACACCATCACACTCGTCCCCCCGTTAAATACGTTTGACCGAATTCAATTCGGTCTTCTTGCTGCTGGTGTCTTCGTTTGCTGATCTTGCTGTATCCATTTCGCTGACGTTCACCCGCTTCTCTTTGTTTGCATTTCTAATCGTATATATGTGCCCCCATCTCGTGGTGACCGTGTATGTTCCTTCACACTTTGGAAACAATTTGCTTGACCCTGGTGCGTACTCGCTGGTGTTTCGCCTCACAATATCATATGCTGCCTTCACCCGACCTCTCAGCCGCGTCCCAAGTAAAGTCCTTTTCGCTGACGGATCTAGAACGCCATTCAACTCTACAACAGCCTCGAAGTCCTACAAGAAGATCCGTTTGTATCCTTCTTCAAAAACTGTAGGGCACAGCGACACCAAATGTAACAGCAGAACGCAAGACACGGGAGCCAAGGTATATTTTCAACCGATGAAAGCGCTTTATATATATACATATACTTTAACAAATCATTAGACATGTAGTGATATCAGCTAGGCAATCCTTCTTCAGTAAGTCGAGTGTAAGGACAAATACTCACCAAAATACGTTGGCTAATGAAGGAGCTCTATATATATCCTGAATCAGCAGAAGTTAGAATTCAAGGGTCACTGGGTTCTGTCCCAGTAGTAAAACCATAATTGGGCTCCTATCTTTGCCTAAAAACGTTCTGGGTCTATCTATATTCACAATCTCTTCGGTAAATCTAAATAAAGCTCTCAGAACACAAATATTACTTGACTATTTCATTTTGTAGTCTCTCTACAATAATAAAATAAAATCTTTGACAATTTATCAGTCACATGAGATTAAAGCGCTTATTAATTAATAACCAATGGTATTTTAACAGATCAAATAGTCCAGGGTAGGCAAAGGTTGAAGTCTATTACTTTTTGAGATGCATGTGATGAATTCAAAGTGCTTCTATCATCTTTATTCAGCTTAGAATTTAGCTTGTGCTAAGTATGTGAGAAACAGTCCATTACGTACTGATTTCGTGACGAAACGTTAATAAATTCAATTTATTTAGTGTTTTTTGGGGGGTTTTTTGTGTGATTTGATAACCACTTACTAAGATGTTCTTTCCGTTGAAACATTACATTAGTTCTATACCTCTGTATATGTCCCTAGAACGGCACATGAATTTTAAAGTTCAGGAGAAAGTAGATCGTGAGCACAAGAAGAGAAAATGTTCGCGGAGTATAGAAAAAGGATACAGAGTAGAACATCAGCTTGATAGCTGACAGAAGCCTTTGAGGTGTCAGCTACTCGGTTTGATCACCTTTGAATGATAGTTTAATAAAGACAGCTTTCTTTGCTACAGAAGCTGTCTTTTCAAGTAGTAGTCTCTCTTTGTTACCACATTAAATAGAGTTTTCGGGACGTCTATTAGCCAACATACAATCACTTTTGCTTAAAAGTGTTCGTAGAACAAATCTAAGTAACCTTTTCTTACGTTATTTTTCTATAATCATATGATTAGTATTATTACGAGTGCTTACATACACTAAATTATAAAGTAGTATTACCGTGGTGTGGTGATAGTTCGCCTATCTTGACTACACTGCGCCTCCAGACACAACACTATGGTCAGTTGATCAATTGAAAATATTCCCAACACTTGAGGCAGACACAGAAGTGAGAAAAAAACTGAGACAACAACGACGATATCAACAATAACCTTTATTATTCACAACACAGAGTATACATATCGTTTACACCTCGATGGGAATTTAAACCACAAAAAAGATAATCAATATCTGATTGATTGCATGGAGTTGAAGATCTAAAACAAATCAATCAAAAATTCTAGTATCAGGTTATTATGTCAGCGCATACATCAGTTATAACTTCACAGCTAACAAAGGTAGTTAGTTCACCCTACAGACATAGACTTTAATTTTATAACCAAAGATAAAAGATTTTTATGGCTTTTACTAGTTTTTCGGCTTTTTTTGATAGAGGTAGTGACTGTCTTCTGTAATAATCTGAGAATCCCAATGGAAAGGTGTTGCCGAATGTTATCCGTTTTTTTTCGCAAACGACAGAAGGTAGATAGTGATACCAGTTGGTGAACATCTCGAGAAAACAAGTCATTCACCCACTTTGAGTTATAAATAATAACAAAATTATTAGAGGACAGAAAGTGTTTTCATATTGGATATAGATCGATTGATCATTCGGACTCATCTAAAAATCAACAAATTTTTCAATAAAACTAAAGAAATCGTCGTGTACTTATCATTGCCAATCGGTCTTGAAATGAACATGTGATATGTAGTATTTGATTTGATGAAGGCGCTTATCCCCCTACAGATAACTCTGAATAATGTATGTTTAAAGCATAGAAACGTTTTGTAAATTGAAGTTGAATGGCTAATTGGTAGTATTTTCATCACAGTAAGACTTACTTGTCACCAGCTTGATTCTGCATATCTTTGAGTAGTATGTAAATACAAGTCAAATTTTCACTGTCGCTTGTTTTTTTATTTAAGTAGATGATGCCAGTTGTGAAGTAAACTGAAAGCGTTGATTGACAAAAGCATTTAAAGTGCTAACTGAATATAGCCTTATGTAAATTTACATTATATAAAGTTCAATAGGAAAGTAAGACAACACTAAAAAGTCCTGAATTGGTGTGAAGATCCACAGAATCTCAGCACAAGGAACAAGATTTGCATTTTAACACTAATGTCAAGTCAGTGAGTGCTTTTATATCCTTTGGAAAGTTGATGCGTCGATAAAAGCATTTCCAACATACAATGGACTTTCGTCAGCAGCTTCCTGTCTTCCATAATCAAGATCAAATGGAAAAAGAGAAAGGATAAGTAAGTAGGAAATCTGACAGCGAACCAGATATGTAAAAGGAAGTGGAGGTGAATTGGACATATACTCAGGAAAGATTTAAACAAAATCACACAGCCGGCAGGCTGTTAAGTGGAACATGAATTGGAAGTGACAAATTGTGCATCCAAAGTTGACATATAGAGAAGATCATCTTGGGAGGGAATGGAAGCTTGTGGTCAGTCGTAGACCTAGTTGGAAATAATAGCAGGAAACCGAATGTATTAGAGATGTCCCACTGAAGTCTCACTTATTCCACTTGGAAGGTTAGCAGTGAACAATAATAATAATAATATTAACAGTCTGATGGGACAATGGTAAGATGCACTGGATGTAAAACTCCGACCGGAACAATCTGGATTCAGAAAAAGAAATCATGTACTGATCAAATTGCGGCTCTATGCATCATTATAAAACAGAGCGAAGAATGGCAGTCAAATCTCTACTTCGAAAAAGCCTTCGACAGAGTTGACCGAGAAGTAATTTGGAAACTACTTCAACACTACGGAGTGCACAAAATTTTTATCACCTTCATTCAGCAGCTATACGATAATGCCACGTGTCAGGTGATGCATAACGGTTAAACTCAGCGAGGCCTTCTGTTGAAGTGAATACAGGAGTAAGACAAGCTGGCAGCCTACTGTCACTGATGCTATTCCTAATTGTGGTGGACTGGATTATGCATGAGACTATGCGAGGGGAGTGAGAAGACAGGAATACGCTCGACCGACAAAAAGACTCAAGAAGATCTGAACTTAGCGGACAACTTGTGTCTGATATCACATAAACTCCAAGTCCTTTAGACGAAAACCAACAGGTTGACGGAAAACGTGGGAGGCAAAGATAGGGCTTCAAGTGAACATGGAGAAGATGAAGGTGATGAAGATAACCAACCAACCAACCAACAACAACACCAACCAGTACAAATCACCATCAACGGGAGAAATTTGAAAGATGTCACTTCCATCGTTTCAACTAAAGGCGGTGGCAAGGATGAGGTTGTCTAAACTCGAATAAGAAAGACGAGACAGACAGTCATCACTCTGAAATCAGTTTGGAAATTTTCTGCACTCAGCATACACAACAAAATTCGGGTTCTCAACATCAATGTAAAAATCAATCATTTTTTATTTATGGGTCAGAAACATTGGCGTGAAACGAAAAGCATTCCTAACAGCCTGCTTCAGACTTTCACCAACAGTATCCCTCACTCCGTATTGAAGGCTAGTGGAACCCAAACGGGAAACGACGAGATAGGTGACTGTAGGCGACTTGGAGGAGGTCGTGTGAGGAGGAGATGAAAGCTAATGGGCGGTCGCAGGGCCAGCTATATGAGTACTGGGAAAGACAGAGCAAAAAAGAGGAGTGGTTTTGAAACCCTATATTCCACTTGGAACCCAGGAGATTAATATTTATAATAGGCTAATGGGACAACACTAACTGGCATTTTGCTAAATCATTCAAACACAACCGACTCAAAATGAACTGGAATTAGGACATATTTTTATGATTGTGTATTTGAATTGCTTATTGGCATCCAGCATACAGTTGATCGTGAACCTGTCCACGGACTATAATAATTTATCTGCATACAGACAGATTGCTTGATCTATGTGACTTGTTCGTGTTGAGCTGTGAGTAGATTTTTTTCTCTCTAAATAACACTACTACACTAGTGTTGTAAATGTCTGTATAATATAAGTAACAATAATAGTAAGAACTAATATTAATAATGAAAGCATCATTTCAACCAGTAAAGAAAGGTACTTTATAAATTAATTTATACATTTGCAAATACGATGTCAAATTTTTTATCTCTTCAATACACAAACTGGATTCAATTCACCCACACATAATAGTATAGAAATAATAAAGGAACAACATGTCTTAACATGTATGTGCCATCAATGATAAAATCCTGTTGTTCTTCTTCAATATTCAGTTTCATTTACGTATGAATACGTCATTAGGTGTGATTTTGGACATCGTTCTATATTTCATCAAGTGGGCGAAGTAAATAAGGTGGAGAGATGGAATACAACCTCTTCAGATGTCTTCTCCTAAATACCCCTATATATATGTATGTATAATGCATTCATTGTCTTTACGACAGATTTAAGTTGTACGTACAACATTGCTCAAACATAAAATGTCAGTGATAGCAAACAAGGTAACGGTGGTATAAAGTATATGCTATCAGGAGTTTGATAGGGGTAAACGTAAGTTACTACCCTTTAAACAAAACAGTTCAAAAAGGCACGTAGGTGTTGATACTTTTTTTGTCTGAAGTCAAGAGAATCACGTGAAAGAGAGGAGGAGAGAGAGAAAGAGCGAGCGTACAGCAGTTCTTAATCGTTAAAGTAAAAGGTTACTCTAGAAAATACAGCTAAGAATGCAAAGTCAACAAATAAGAAAAAAGCTATTTGTAATAATTATTTTTACGATGACAAGATTTTCATTAAACCCATCGTTAAACCCATACCTCCCTTTCGTATTTCTATTAAGGTTCATTTCACGAGCTGAAATTCCACAGAATCGTTTCTCACTTTGCTGATCGTCAAAGAATCAGTAACATTAAAACAGTTTGGTTGATTTGCTGTAAAAGAGCCCTTAAGAATCTTTCTCTATTTGTACATTAATGCCTTTACAATGTGAATAAATGCTAATGTAAATGGGCAGAAAAATGCTGCATTGCATGGTATTACCTAATCACTTACACAAAATATTCTCATATAACATCCTACACGAACCTAATAGGCATTAGGTTCTATTACATAAATTATCAAATTGTTTCCTTCTCACATTACAGTAGAAGCTTTAGTGGAAAACGAATTGAATTATAAAGGTGTCAGGCAAAATTGTAAGGAACAACTCCCCATTTTCTAAGAAGTCCATTTTTCATTTAATTTTGCACGACATCTTGGAAGAGTAGGAGATTGTGTCAAAATGGAATACCATCAATACCATGGAAACCAGATGTAACACAACGGTGAGATGTAAGAAACTTGAAGTACAACAAGAAATCAAATAATAAATTTGGGATTCCACTTTGTTGAATTATTCCGATAAATACTCTGAATGTTAAACTCTAAGCTTAAAAAATCTCACCTTTCTCCATTCTTATTTATATCTGTCGAAATAAGTGAGGTAAAAAGTAGAACTGTCCTCAGAAAGTGAAGATTAACAGCAGTACTGTTCCATGATTCTTTTTTCTACATTTTGTAAGCTTAAAATAGTACGTCTGTACCATTCGATTATATGTGTCTGCTAATCAGGAGATAGATTCTACTAAGTTTATTGTAATAAAATAATTCATGGGACATTGAATTCCGTCTCAAGGGCTGAATGGTTGGTAGGCTTGTCTGGTTTCCTGAAGGTACTAGGTCTGACCCCCTGGGGTAACATAGGTGCATACTGATGAAGAGTCCTAAACTAAGACGAAACATCTGTCCAGTGGTCTTTGGTTTTGCAGTGATTCTCTAAATGATATCAGTTTGTAACTTAACATGAAATAATTGCAGTCAAATGAGAGTTCCCTATCTGTAAATTTAATTATTACATTTTCACTCTTGTACCCGGATAAAAATGAATACTTTGCATGTATTACTAATTGATCAAAACTGAATGTATCCATTGTTTTTGTGGTTAACCGAAAAGTGTCATGTGTCAGTGTTTTTTTAGCCTAGAATTACGTAATCGGTTTTTGTCATCTAATAATTTACTAAATTTATCACTGAAGTCTAGTCACGTTAAGTGTTTGACTGTCAGTACAGATTAATCCGGAAGTTTATCCTTTCCACTTGATTAATGCTATCACATAACTGGAATATTTTCATTAACTTCATAATTTTGAGATACAGAATGCTTAAGTGCATCACGCTATATACTATTGATTGATTGAGATGAGTAATTGTACACCACTCATATCAACTAGTAGTTTTTTAGCTAAATCGAATTGATCAAAAATACTGGATGGTTGGAGGCAATCGGCAGGAAGCCTTACCTGACCTAGGTTTCGTGCTAGTTGGCACTCACCAGTCAGCAAGGCGTATCTGCAACCTTGAAGGAACTCATACCCCTTCTGAGATTCAAACCCACGTCACCCAGTGTTACAGTCAGAGACGTTACCATTGAGCTATTCGGGCTCGCGATTGACTGTAGTGGGACTGACTGCAGCACTGGGTGGCGCGGGTTCGAATCTCAGAAGGGACATGAGTTCCTTCAAGATTACAGGAACGCCTTGCTGACTGGTGAGTGCCAACTAGAACGAAACCTAGGTCCAAGGCTTCCTGTGGCCGATTGCCTCCAACCATCTAATATCATCAAATCAATGTGCACCGTGATGGCGACCTACTTAGAATGGTGGCCACATTACAAACCTAACTGAGAGAATTCAGTCTGCACCAAAGAAAGAACTAGACACGTCACACTAGTTACTAGTGTCCAGTCGAAATATACTGGGTGGTTGTTTAGCTTGTTTTGGGTCTGAGCTCATCAGCGGTGTAGCCGGTTTAACTCAGCTCAGACAGCCGACAGATCAGTTCAGCAGATCACGTATTATGATGTGAGTAAGCTGGGTTTCCTAAGGAAACTATGGTGAAATAATCGCATCAAGCTGTGTAAATCGCGAACTTTTTTGTAAATCGTGAATTCGACTTATACAAAACGCTTTTGCATTATCCTGCTGTAAGATTTTAATGAAGCATTTTCGCAATGAAATAAAGTTGACTGACCTCAATAAGATATTTTTAAGTAAATAAGCTAAGAAGGTAAGGAGTGTATACCTTGATTCTGAACTGTTCAGGTACATAAATTCTTTGAAAATTATTTTTAATTGCTTAAAAGACTACTCCTAGTTCTCATCAAAATTTAAACTCGAGTTCTATTCAGTTGATGGTGGCTGGCAATGGAATCCAGTGGATGTGCATCTCTTCCCTTTCAGGGTTCATCATCTGTGTCTGCCTTCATCCCTCCACTGGGTGATGGTGTTCCTACTCAGACTCAAGCCGGACGCTCATCATTTCAAACAGAAAGGCATTATCCACTTGACCACTGGGCCACGATGGGTGTTTGGTAAGAGTCTCGGTGGATATGCCATAACTCATTTTAGATGCAGACACATCCAGTTGAAGAGTCCCAGATGGGACGAAGTGCTCAACCAATAATAAAAATGATCATGTATAATATTGTTCAAGATGACGTCATACGTTTTAGTCTCTATTCGATTATATTTGTAGAGCTGTTAACACGCTAGTATATTAATAGTGTACTGTTAAGCTCATTCGGGGAAAATAATAATTTTAATTAACACAATAGTTTGATTCAAAATGGAGTCGCTAACTAATTAATGGGTAGCTAAATTGTATCCACAAAATATTTCGAGACATACCGCTTCAAGTACTTGAATTTATATGATTAACACAACTAAAACTTTTCAGAGCATACTTAGGGTAAATGTTTCATGTGAAAACTGATTTACTGTACAATCACACACACACACACTGCACTCTAACTGATGATTTTCTTTACTTCATAGGTTTGTGGCAAAGCATTTCGTCATGTCAGTGGATTTTATGCACATATACGCATTCATACTGGTGAAACACCATATCAGTGTGAATTATGCGCAAAGAAATTTAGCAATGCAAGCAATTTTCGAATGCATAGAAGAGTACACACTAAAGAAATGCAATTTCGGTAAGCTACATTTTGAATCATTACTCTACATAGTCTAAATATGATAAAACTGTTATTAATTATAAACGTTAGGAATGCAGCTATTAGAATTTCTATTAATTCTCATAGGAGTATATTATTATTCCCTTGGGTTCCGAGTGGAATATATATCTTCAGCAACACATCTTCATTTTGTTCCGTTCTCTTCTATCCTCTTTAGATAGCTCCACGTTTGACCATAGTCTCTGATCTCCTCATCATCATCCTAGGACGCCCGACTCATAGTTTCCTAGTCGGGTTCCCCTCAAGGGTGTGACGCGCGACTTTACCCATCGGTGTCTCTTCAGTGCGTTGGACTCATCTCCATTTGTTTCAGAATATTTGTTGAGCAATAGGTCCTTGATTGGTTTGTTCTTAGAGTTTCTTGTTGCTAATTCTTTTTGACAGGCCATCTGATCTTCAATATGGAGCTAGTAAAGGCAGCTGTTGACAAAAGTCAACAGCTATCTTTTGGAAATGCTTATGGTGACTCTCCAAGTTTCCGACACATACTGAAGAAGTGACTGACTTGATATTAGTGTTAAAAGTTCAAATCTCGTTCCTTATGTTGAGAACAGAAGATTTTCAGAAGAATGGACACGGAACAAAGAGTACTCTTTTCGATAAATTCATCATCAGGTTTCTACAATTATATATACATTATAATGAATGAATGAATTAGTCTTATGAACGACATTAATGTTTAAATAACATCAAATCAATAATATTGATAAATTACAGCTGAACAGCATCAACATAAAATAAGCCGAATGTCAGAAGAATTAGGAAAGATAATAGTACAAATTCATGAGTTTATAGTCTCTACTGAAGGCCAGGGCAGTAGATTTACAAATTGATTTCAGAGTGATGAATGTCTTTCTGATTCTGGCTTTGACATATCCATCCGTTATGCCTGTAGTTGAGACGACCCTGTCTACATGATAAGTGACGGAAGTGACCTCTTTCAAATTTCTTCCGTTAATAGTGATTGATGCTTGTTGTTGGTTGGTTATCCTCATCACCTCCATCTTCTCTATTGTTCCCTTTAAGTCTTCTCTGTTCTGCTTTTTCGGCCAGCCTGTTGGTTTTAGCTTGTAAGTTTTCGAGTTTGTGTGACACTAGGCACAAATCATCTGCGAAGTTCAGGTCTCTAGAGTCTTGTTGTCAGTTCAATGTATTCCTGTCTTTTCGCTTCCCAGTCTCCCACATTATCCAGGAGCATATGGCCTAAGTTAAAACTGATTGACTGATTTATCAACGTAAACATTTGCACTAAAGTGTTTTAATTCAACTGATCAATATTCAGGAAAGCTGACGTAATTGGAGAAATGAAATATAATGAAGGTATATGGGCGGGAAAAGATCATCTGAAAATTTCACACATTGCAAACTTGACTGACAGAATTCAGCCTGCACCAAAGATAGGACTAGACACAGACATTACACTAGTTACTGACTAGTGTCCAATCAAAAATTTCATAATCTGAAACATTACAAGGACTTAGTAAATATGTATCATTGTATGGGGTTTCAAACAGCCAAAGACTGGTTCTTAATACCTTGAATATATATGCTGTCTACACCCTAATAAGTGACTCAGATTAACACTCTGTATCTTCATAGATTAGTGCCATGTTACCGTCTGACAACCGCCAACTCTTCTGAAAATAACGTACACAATGCTCATAGGAGAAAGCAACGACTCAACATGTGAAGCATATTTCCGCATCACTCTAATCAGTGGAGCTGGACACTCCCATCGGTTGAATTAATTTCCTTACCTGTCAGCTTAAACATGATCTCAACGTATAAGACTTATTATGTAGTTTTACCGGATGCTAGGAACTGAACATGTTTCAGGTAATCAGAACTGTAAATTTTGAAAAAAACACCATTTCTAGTGGACAACGTTATTTCTATACTCTGAGTTACTCAAGGCATAAGTAAAGTATTATTTATTGATACTTCTGATATTTTTGAACCATATTTAGACACTGAGGTTTCTCCTGAATAGAACGCTTAGAAATTCCTTTTGCTTCAACTTTGGTATTACTTGTTACTTTAGGAGGGATAAGTATAATCAAGGTTGCTCCTTTCGTTTTATTCTAATACATAACATTGGCTTTGCTATATCCTAATCAGTGATTGTATTCTCACTGAGATCCGAACGTTAATCACTGGTGCATAGATGTATCCCAGTGAGGAGCAGCGCCAAATACAAAGAAAATTGCATCTCTAGATTATACTTAACCATAACTGATCAAGTAACTTATAATTAAGATATTCAATATCGCGTTTCTTTTCAATTTAGTTAAATACCAGGTTAATGTAAGAGATCGTCATGTTTTTAATATGTTCAAGAGTTGGTTTGTAAGGATTAGATTTGTTTTAACGAGTTTGATCACGGATTGATATCAGTTAGAGAACCATTGAAAACCAGCTAGGAGTACTGGGCAGCTGTTTCATCCTAGTTCGGGAATCATCGGTAATATGCACCCACTGGGGTTCGACACCAGGACCTTCTGGTTACAAGGTAAGCTCGTATACCATTCAGCCGCTGGGACCCGATTCAGTAGCCAACGCATGAATTCTGACTTCTACCAATTCGTGATTTAGCCCGACCACCAATATATAATATGTCACTATTCTTCCCTTCATTTTTCATAGGTCTGCTAAACAGTGTAACACTCCTGTTTTTGCAGAAAGCTTTCATCTGTTAACAGACCAGTAATAATGAGATACATCAGTGTACTTAGGTCAGTCTCTTTCAAAAAATTTCTAAAGAAAAGCATTTCCCCAGGCTATTTCTTTTCACACTATTCTCCTATCTAAAACGTTGAACAATTTAAACAAACTAATCTCTAGTTGTGCGTCAGATTTCATTTGACGACTTTAATTGTTAAAGTATAAGTAACACTTTTTGTCCTAAATCAAATAATTTAGAAGAAATACAACTTGTAGAAGCCTTTTCCTCCTAATACTCTATTGACAGTAGTGTTTGAGTTACTCAACTTCACCTGAGTAAAAATGGTTCATATTTTATCATTTCTGACCACTTAAGAAAAACCAAAAAGTAGATAGCATTCACCTGCTTTTTCTAGATGTGACTCTTTTTCAAAATGAGCATATTATCATTCATTTACTGACTTCTAGTTCAGTAATGCAAATTTTTTTAGTATTCTCCATTTTCAAGTTTTATCATGAGCTGACATCACTTAGAGAACCATTGGAAAACTAGTGAGTAGTGAACAGCCGTTTCGTCCTAGTTTGAGACTCTTCATCAGTTCACATGCCGGAGTTCGAATTGGCAGAAGTTGGAATTCATAGATCATTGGATCGGTTCACAGTAGCTAAATGGTCCACAAGGATGCCTTGTAACCGGAAGATTCTAGGTTCCAGCCTTGGTGGGTGTGTACTGCTGAAAGTCCTAATCTAAGACAAAACAGCTGTCTAGTACTCTGTGATTTTGAAATAGCTTTCTTAACTGATTTCGCCTCGTGACCAAACACGTAAGCAATCAAACCCACGCTTGATAATCTTCCAGTTCATAATGTTCAATTATATTATTTATTACGAGTTGATCACGAATTGGCAGAAGTTAGAATTCATGCGTTGGCTATTGAATCGGGTCCCAGTGGCTGAATGGTATACGAGCTTACCTTGTAACCGGAAGGTCCTGGGTTCGAATCCCAGTGGGTGCGTACTGCCGATGATTCCCAAACTAGGATGAAACAGCAGCTGTCCAGTACTCCCTCGTGGTTTTCAATGGTTCTCTAACTGATATCAGTCCGTGATCAACTCATAAAAACATAACAAACCCTTACAAACCAAACTATAGAAAATATATTATTTATTTTAATTTTTATTCCTTTACGTTCCAAGAGGGACATAGGTTATCAAGCTTAAACTCTGATGGTTTATACGGGGTTAGGTTGCTAGGCTTATATTAAACCTTCTGTCTTTGAGTGGCTTACATACAAGCTAAGCTCGAGGTTAAGCAGTACATCGGTTGGGGATCGAACCCTATATCACATGGGAGGTTAGCAGGTATTCTACCGCTGGACCACCTACGTGTATGGTGTTTAATAGGGTACCTGAAAGACTGTCTCTCTGTTACATGTAGAAACTCAAGGTTCTTTTTAATGTTGTATATTTCTTAAATGTTAACCGTTTCATTTGTATTTTATCTGTTCACAATTTTTAGCTGCCAAACATGTGGTAAAGAATTTATTCAACCAAGTAATTATAGTCGACATTTACGTATTCATACTAAAGAAAGACCATATTCATGTAAACTTTGCTCAGCTGAATTTCTATATTCTACATCTCTGAAACGACATCAACAACGAAATCATGGAGTAGAGCTATTAAGATGTCAATTATGTCAAAAAACTTTTTTAAATGAATCATGCCTTATTCGTCATCGTACTGGTTGTGAGTTACGCGCTTGTGTTAAAACTGCTGATGAAGGTTTATATACTCAATTATTATAAAATCGTATATAGAAGACAAAAACTCATAAAGTAGTAAAGTATCATCATCTTTATGCTGATGAGATTCAGACGAAAGCGAATTAAGGATTATAACTCAGAAAGTCAATTTTTGTTATTGTTGTTATTTATTTTTGTTCGTTTTATTTTCTTTCGAATACACCATTCAGAAAAAGCGCCTTTTTTTGTTTATTCATTCATTCTCAGATTGTTGGTTGTTGTTTTTCTTTTTCGTTAACTCGTATAAAATTTAACAAAGAAACTATCGTTATTTGTTTGTTTGGTTGTTTTTTCTCCAGCTTTTGTATTCTTTGTTTTTAAATTCATATTTTGGATACACACTTTATAACATTTTGTTTGATACATAATAAATATTGTTTTTTCGTCTTCCTGTTCAAACTATTTTTCGATGTATTTTGTTTTATTTTACTGATATTCTCGGTGGGTATTTTGTTTGTTTTTACAGCTAAGAAGAAATATTCCCATTCATCCAACTCACATTTCTACATATTTTTTTAAAAACTATTCTAATAAATTAACTATTGTTCGTTAATTGTAATAATTAATAAAATTAAATAATTAGAGGTAATAACATTTATAATAATAATAATAATAATAACAATAATCAATAAACTAAAAATTCATTTTTATAATTAAATTAAAGAGGTGATGGATGATGTGAATAGTGCTAAGAAAAGTAGGCAAAAAAGTATACTTCATGATGTGTAGTTCGCTAGATCTTGATTTCTTATATCAAAGTTAGGCGTAAATTTATCGAAAATTTGTTAGATTGGATGGAGGATTTCATCATGAGCTGACATTAGTTGAAAAACCATTGGAAAACCACCTAGGAGTGCTGGACAGCTGTTTCGTCCTAGTTTGTGACTCTTTATCAGTATGCACCCACCGCCAGGGTTCGAAGTGCTTTCAGGGAATAGCTGTTTGTTTCATTAAGTGATATAGTAACAGTATAGAGAAAATAGGATAAAAGTTCAGAACGTATCATTGTAGCCAAACTTTTTTCTAATGAACCTTAGCAGCCAACACCATAGCAGTAAGAACTTCTGAAATAATTGAGGATACTGATAACAAAAAAGGGACATTTGGCGGACGACCTTACTGAAGCTCTCACTGACAAAGTTACATAGGACTAGATGAGCTACATCCAATGAGGATTGATAAGCTGACACTCAACCTTTATTTTCAAACCTTTCGCAAAACAAAAGATATCACAGTGTTGCTGGAAGCGAATATGTCTCTAGGAAGAGTAGTAATATACCCAATACTTTCTTAACCTAATAAACGCGATATTTCTGTGGAAATTTGGTGCCAGGGCCTCTGAGGTTTTTTCCAAAAATAAACTGACACGATATATTCCATCGTACTCTATACCTTCTTCAAAAGCCTATAGGAAAAGCTGAAGGAAAACTGGAATTTCTATACTCTTCAAATAGGCACAAGCCAATTTTAGACCGGTGAAAAATTCGTTGGTCGTGATAAAAATACCTCAGTTAGTAGAGATGTAGATAAGGTGTAAAAGTCGTGGAGTCTTTGCGGTAGACAGAACTTCCTACTTTATCTCAGATACACTGTTACCTAAGTGTCGTAGTAAGTAAATACTTAAAAACCCAAGGCGCATCATCGTTTCCTCACACCTCACGTCTGTAGGATATCTTTGTCAGTAGGTAGGTTCATTATTAAGTTTAAAAACTGTACACCCCACGACTCCTACAGATTTTTAACGGGTCGATAATGGGAATATCCACTTAAGTGACTCATAACCGCTAAAACAGGTTCAAGGAATTCTAAGGCAATGATTCCCTAGGCAAATGACCTAAGGTGAGGTGACGCAAACAGCTGGACAGTAGGTGACCTCAAGGAATGAATTTTCAACTAATCCGACTTCCATTTCCATCTTCGCCAGTCAGGAAATATTTACACACCATTTTACCATTGACCATTCTGTGTTAAATTTCTAGCACAAAATGTGAATTTTAACTTTAGACTAATCGATTCTCAAACAGTTAATTATAAATCGCAGATCTGGTTTTTGCGTATAACTATCGACGGTGAGGATGAAGCTTCATACAGGTGGGCTGTAGCAAGCAACAATGGAGCTGAAATTAATATAACAAATACTTCCAGGGTGATGAAAGATGTTTTTGCACTCTCTGAGATGGAGGGGTATGAAAACCCGAACCCAGCCATACTAAATTAAGCTTTTAAGATTGGCACCCTAGCTGGCAACTGGGATTTAGGTGAAAACAGTTTCAGGATTGTGGAACTGAAAGTCAGGTAATAGGGAATATCCCCCAAGATAAGTGAAAATAGTACTTGATAAAACAGAGTAGAGAACACTGTTGCCGGTAATTCGAATGATTATAAGGACGATATTTGTACGTAGAGGAGAAATCAATGAGAGTGGAAGCCATAGACGAGTTGAATGCCCGACCACTAAAAGATGAGGAAGCCTTAGGTTATCATGTCTTGAGTAGTGAGATTACCTCGTCAAATGTTTCGAACACCTCTGTTCATTAGGCTAATAAAACCATAGGTAGAACTTCTGTAGTTTACACCCATTCTCCTTGTAGAATCGTTGTTGTGTTTGAACAGACAGATTTCATAGTTTTACGGGTCGGCTTATATTGGGAGACTGTGTCTTTACTACTGCAGACCATCTCTTGTACCTCCTAGGACAGATAATTCGATAAAATGGTTATTAAGTTGAGGAAACTATTTATTGAATAAGTTTTTAGTACAGATGAAAGTCATTCTGTAAGGTCGTCATCGACAAGTGTCAAAAGGAGTACTCGGGTAGTTAGCATAAGTCTACTTAGACTGCCTTGAAAAACGATACCCTCAGATTACAAGAAGTAACGGAACAAAAATTTACAGGGAGGACAGAACAAGAAACCATAAAGGCGGAAAATCTACAGAATTGTTCCAGCAACATGTTTACATCTGAAGATAATACACAACTGTAGAAAATGGTACTGGTGAAGCCTGCGAAATGAGCCCTGACCTGATGGACAATATAGCCATGCTCAACCTGCTTACTAACTTGAGACTTAATCAAGCGACACACTCTGATGGGCTGAACTCTATTTTACTGCTCATTTTAGATGGGATAATTTTTATACTTATTGAGAATTTACTTACCTTGCCTACTTTCTAGGCGAAAAGAAAGTTTACTGTCTTATGAGTAGGCACGTGAGTTACCAATAAAAAAGAAGCCTAGAATGAAGCCTCAGTGCTAGTGTATGACGAAAAAGTGGGTGGAAACCAGAGACAGCAATTTAGTTCTCGATGTAATTCTTATCATTTTCTAAATGTGAATTCGATACGTTGTTACTTCAGTCTCCGACGGCCGTAATATACAACAGTTGGTTGAAAACCGCTGTCGTCATAAAAAGAGAAGAGTGCAAAAGAGCACGTCAACCCCTGAACAGATTACAGCCACTAGGAAGGCTTCACAGGGCACTATTTAAGGACCCGAATATCTAAGCGGTATTTAACAATTAATTGCCACGAGTTTCGGGCTCACCATCCCTGCTGTTTTCAGGTGATGTTGAAACTTAAAAGACTATGTGTCACACAAAAGATGGGCTAACTCTTCACACTGGCTTAGATGTGCTAACCGGATAACCAATCAAAAAGTTAGCAGTGAACATCGACCGGGTTCATAATGTCTTTGTTTCAGGAATGAAATAACATTGAAGAAAAAACAAAAAGGTCCCGCTGTCCGGGGCTTGGACGGCAATCAGGCATTCTTGATGTTTTAATCGCTTTGGAGGACCTCTGATTGTCTTGATAAAAATGTTTAGGACAATATATCTAATGTAGCTTATACCTTCTCGCTGTCACCGAACTCTTACTAACTACTCCTCTTTGAAGAAAGAGGCAAACATCACGTAGTAAATGTGAAGAGTGATGACCAAAATAGTAAAAGAAACATCGTATCAGAGACTCGCGTGAACCTTGCTTAAGTCCGTCCTTCATTGTATTATGCGCTACAAAACCAAGTACATTAACTCAGATTACCCAGGCTAGAGTTGGTGCTTTTTATCAGTTCTGAGTTTAATTACTCACAGGAATTGTTTTTAAACAGTTTGGTTTCTCATTCATCCGAAATTTTATAAAATTCAGTGGTTTTCATTTTCGATTATCTAATAGTTGTCCCTCAGGTCATATATGAGTTTTATAGTCACAGTTTATTTTGAAAAATATGCCAATCAAAATTCCGTTGTGGGAGACTCATTACGCAGTTTCCAGTTGGCGAAAGCACATAGTGTAACTACTGCAACAATTGGTTCCACAACATGTGCACCAAATTGCCCCCTGAGCATACAAACGTTGCTGCAAACCCCTAGCACACTGGTTGTGCAGTGATTGCTGCAGGACCACACAGTATCAAATAAAAGCACTCATAGCAATGTTTAAAGGTATATTGAACTGCAACGGTCTCAAGCCACGGAATAAAAGCAGCCAGTAGTCAGACACTGATAACGTGGTTAGCATCACTGATAAGACACTATGCACACTGCATGCGTTATTATCAAGGAGCGAGGGTCCTTTGCCACAGGGGAAAATCCAACGTGACTCATACATAGGCACGCTAAAAGTCTGGATGGTTAAGGCACTTCAAGTCCATTTTCATCCAGGTTAGTTGGCCACGTTGGATTGCTATTTGCCAGCCCCTCATTCACTTATTGGTTTTTATGTTTGTTCTGCAGTTATTCGCAACCTACCTTGATGCAGCTTATTCATGTCGCATTTCGCGTCATTTTGGTTTTCCTTGTTTCGGAAGCTTTTGCCCTGATTTGAGTTCATTTCATTGTAATTGTTTCCTAAGTATCTTTCATGCTTGGTTGCAGTTTTCTTGCCACTTTTCAGCTCTTAATGAAATAATGCTACTTAGAAGCTTGAGAATTTGGAAAATTTATGACATAATTTTATTAAAAATCATTCACTTACAAAATTCGCCAAGTGAAATTTCAACCAACATGCCGGATAAGTCATGCCGTTGTTTTTGCCATCCCAGATGAGCCCCCAAAACATCCATAATGAAACGGCCCTAGGAGACCCTAACTTCAGTTCACCTGGTGCTGCCAAGAGGAAAACATCTAACATCACTCAGGAACTGATAGTAGGAGTTGCCCGTCATCTACGGCACAAGTGGATAGTAGGCAGCCACAATCAAAGTCAGGTGGCGAAGACAGCGGCAGTCAATGACGGAATACACTGTCAAAAAGCGAGACTTGGCCACTATAAAAGACTAACTGTCCTTGAAGGACGGGAAGACATTATAAGGCCAGGGCGAGAGAGCCATTCAAAGGAAACGAGACTTCTCCGATAGGTCTCCCATCCTCCAAAGAGTGGAAAAATTTATGACTTCGGACCCCAAGGCCAGGTTTGAACATGACCCCATTATAGTTAAACCAATATAAGACAAGCTGCTGCCAGTAGCGGTGTAAACGCTCATAGATTGTACAGAGTCTGTCAAAAGGTTGGCTCGACAGCTAATTAGTCAGTGAGACAGAGAGTTGTGGTGAACTCAAAAACTGAGAGGGATCCTAAGCAGCAACTATTAAAGGATAAGGCATCTAATTCCGTGTTGATTTATGCCCAGCAGGCCACAACAAAAGACAGCCTCTGCCTATATAATGAAACAAACGCCATTTAAACGGCGAGAATAATCTAATTATTAAGTGTTTTTGAGTTGTGAAAGTTCGAAGTCTAATAATTCTGATAGCTCTATGGAAACATGATTCACATCCAATATCAACGACAATGAGGTTAATCTCCTGAAACTTTGAGTATAGAGCACACCGACTAAGATGTAGAGAAGGTGGTGTGTCCATCCACCTCAAGAAGTGCCTAAGCTCACATAGAAGTGAAACTCACGCACATGAAAGTTGATCATGACAACATCAGCGCCACAAACAAAAACCCACAAGACAAGACATCGACCTCATTGCAATTTATCACAGTCTCGATTGCAACGCAGACGACTTTCTAGTGAAAAAGCTGTGCTTGTGGACATCCAAATGTCGCAGTCGCGTAGTCGGCTAGTTCCAAGCCAAACTTCTGACCGAACGAACCGTTAGAATCTACTGTTTTTACTAGCCCTAGTACGTGTCACGAAGCTGACATGCTATGAGTCATTGCACTCCTCTTCAAACTTGCATCTATTTTCCCCCATGAGAAGCATTTGAACCTCATGCTACATCTTACACCCCTAGGAAGAAGTGGTTACTCCACTCTCACCTTCAGGTTCACACTCCGCAGCATCGTGCGCCAAGACTCCAGCTCGACCAAACATCTGGAAAGCCGATATAAACGTATCGTCTCAGCGGCTGAATCACTGAACTTGCATATCAACCCTGAATCTCAAGTGGTAGATGAATGGAGTCATTTCAAGCATCTTTAAGCTTAGGTGACCCGAAGCTTTATTTTTTGGTTCGTCCTAAAGGGTTAAAATCATTGTCCTCATTGATAAACCGAGAGTTTCATATATTACTCTGGCGTAAGTATAAATGCTTGAGACCTCCAGATCCAGAAAGTTGTGCAATGTCGCCAGGAACAAAGCTACTGCGGAAATCCATCAGTCAAGGATTGAGTTCGAAGTGCATGTAGCCCGAAATGTAACGGTAGAAACTAAGAAAGTTCTTTCGTACATGAACTTTAGATATAAAACATCCAATGGAGTCCAAAAGCTGACTATTAACAACGGTACGGTGGAAGGGGACCAGGAAAAAGCAGAAGCAATGGCACACTACTTTTCCAAAGTTTTGACACAGGGCTCCTCACTACCCACAGTGTCAGCTCTGGCCACGTTAGAGTGGAACAGGATAAATTCCGCCGGTAATGACGAAAACATCATATTCCATTCTCAAAAGGGACTGAACGCAGGGAAGTCATAGCCGGCCCACCGGCTATGAAAATGGAAAGTCTTGAAATTAAGGACGGCTTACTAAACTGGACTAGGGTTTTGGTCATAGGTAGGAGACAGAGGGACAGGATCGACAACAGTACGTAGTGGAGTGCCACAAGACACCGTACATAGGGCCCTCTTATTTATCCTGAATACCAACGAATTACCTGTTTTGACCATACCGGCCGTGGTCCTTTACGCAGATGACTTAAAAAAATTTGAAGAGTGGCAGGCCGACAGTGACATATTCACGTTCCAAGATCTCAACAAATTGTTAGATGGTTCCAAAGAATGGATTCTCCTCATCATCCTAGCGAAGTGTACAAGTATACACAGTGGACACGCAAACGTCAGCTCATACGAAGTACAGAGAATAACGCCCCCATCAGTTCAGACTCATATGGATCTAGGTGTCATAGTAAGCGATGAATTATAAACCACGGCACTCTGCAACGTGGTACCAACTCCAAGTTTCATATCTTTATGGACAATACGCAGAACGCCCACTAAAATAACTAGACATATGTTCACTTCTTTATGTACATCTCTGGTGAGATTAAGACTGTATCCAGGCAGCCAGTTCTTATCCTAAGAGGGGTTAATACATTCTAGAAAGGGTTCGGAGGAAGGCAGCAAGTGTGATTCTTGACATGGCAAATTTATCGTACACTGAGAGACTAGATAAACTGAATATCTGATCGTTTTTATATCGTGAAGAGATTTCACTAAAGTGTTTACAGTTTTAAATAATCGCCATGGACCTGATATATCTACCGTTTTACATCACCTCAGAGGAGAGAGCAGATTTCAGAATCCAGGTAGGAACCATATCTCTATGGAATACTGGTTCGCACAAGGAGTCATAAGCTCCTGAAACGGACTCTCAGAAGGAGTGGTGTCAACTGAATAATTCAAGAAGGGTTAACAAATTTATCAGAATAGGACTAACTTGGGCTTCATGCTTTCTATCCCCTATCAACAAATATGAATCTGTAACTCTTTGAGAGAAATAGGGTAAAAGTTTTAGGCCTCTTTTCGTCATCATATCGTGTAAAGGAAGGTGATGATAATTTTTCAACGAGCCTTTATTGCCTACTTGCGAGTAAGTTTCATCAATATTTTCACTCATTCTTGGGTACCTCTACCAAGTCATTATGAGAACCCTAAATAAGCTCAACTGGTCGAACCGACTAGGAGCAGTATTCACAATTTCCCTGTGAGTAGAAAACTTATAGGACCCATAATTACGATGTGAGGCTTCGAAAGAAAACCTGAACATCCCAAGAAATGCATAAGGCAGGGATTTACACGTACCAGAATCCTAATAACCTTCCTCCCATGTTTAAAATTTTAAATAATGACTACGGACCTAACCTATTCTTTCTTTTCCTTCCCAACAGGTCGGAACACCTTAGAGGACATAGCAGGAGAGTTCAAAGGTCAAGAAGAAATCATATTGCTGTTGAGTCATAAACTCTTGGAACCGACTACCAGAAGAAGTGGTGTCTGCAACCTCAACTGACTCATTCAAGAAGGGTTTGAGACAACACAGAAATTTACTAGAAAAGGATTAACATAGGCTCCAAGTCTTCTTTCCTCAACCAATAAATCTGAACCTGATATCTGAATACTGAACAAAAAGTGTGGGTTGTTTAAACATTGCGACACAACCATGTGAGTTTCTTCAATATCGATATTTTAGATTATAGGGCTGAAAATGATGTGATTAAACTGAAAACAGTGCCTGTTACACTTCTGAAAAGAAGAAAACGGGTTGGCAAGGATATCATAAAACAACAACGAGTACGTGCTGAAGAGATACGCAAGCGTGCTAAGAAACGGAGGAGTCAAATAAGACCACCGGTTCATTTCATCAGAGTTAGAATTGTGTTTTAGTAATATAGGTTTTCAGAGGAGTATCAAACGAACACAAGATCAGCTGCGCTTGGAAAGACTTGTCAACAGGAAGCCTCCCATCTTATCAGCTGACTACCCAAAGCTGGGAGTTGTGATTAGATTGAAGCAAGAAGTTGACCAAGTTTCAAATGTGTGCAAGAATGTGTTTCGTTTGTTGCGCCTTGATACGTACAATCAAGCTGTCTTTATCAAAGTTACCGAGGCACTGTCACTTTTGTCACTAATATATTTTCCTTAGGCAACTCTCGAACTTTTAAATATTGCTTCACCACATATTGCATGGGGATATCCGTCAATACAGGTAGTTCGCGATATGGTTATGAAACGTGGACGCACGATGCTTGGAAGACATAAACACTCGATAGATAACAAGATAATAGAAGAGAAATTGGGTAGGTTTTTGGTTGTGACGGGTTTTATATCAACATATGTCTTAGTTTATATATCATTTTCAAAGAGGGTAATAACATATCCACTTTAATTCAGCTTCGCACATAAAGCAGCTTGTGTTCAGTTATTCTTTTTTCGTTTCTCAAATATTTGTTGTCACTATGACATTTAAGAAATGACAGTGTCTGAGAAACCGGTAAAATCAAAAGAGCTTGTCTGGTTAATTGTATATTGCCTTAATTTGTCAGAGATCACGCACTAGATACTATCATGCCATGAAATATATATGAGCAACTAGTTATGGCCTGTAATTTCTAAGCTTCTGTTATTTAAAGCAACGTAGTAAGGCATTGGATAGCACCCTTGAACATGCATTTTGTAGCATCGTTAATGAACCTAATATATGGTCTGCCTCTTTGTCAATATTTTCAGCGTATTGTGCTGCCATTACGCCTTTATAATGAATGCCATGTAACCTTGTCTATCCTTTCTAATGGAAACACCTCAAGTACATATTTGTTAAAGTCCAGATAAAGTAGTTTATTCCATTACCGTTGTCACGAAGTAATAGAATGCCTTACTAAGACGTTTTATCCAAATAATTGTAGCATGTTCTCTATTAAACACGGTTCACAGCCGTATGTGGTAACGTCTGGAGACACTGGTTCGAATAGTCTCTCGGACCTGATGTTGGTGTCCCTAGATGGCAAAAACAGTGAAAAACAGTCTTCACTGTCTCCAAACACATGTCTGTGGACCTTGCGTGATGATGCCATAGAATGCAATCAATTCCACGAGGGTATCGGTAGTCAGATACACAGAATCGTCGTACATCTTCAGCTCAGAGTGACTGGGTTTCATATGCATAGAACCAGACTATACACACTGAAGCATCGTAAACCCAACGTTTGATGACCAGACGTGGCTCAGGTTGGCGTATGTTACCTTGGTTATCACAGACGAGATTAGTTTCTCAAGTGGAGTTCAAGTTCCTCATTTAGAAGAAAAATGTTTTGTTAATAGTAATAATCACTGAACTCAAACGGACAGGAATCTGGTCCAGTTAGTTGTAAGTAGTAGTGATTCATTTTTGTGATGATTTGAGTCAACTACGTATTTTGATATCAGGTTGTGTCATTTCCAGATAATTTTCTCAAACCTTTCAGACTTCCAGATAACCATTCTTACATACTGAGTGTACTACTGTTGTGCAGATACTCGTAGCTTGAAACACTAGTGTTTATCTATTCCCACTTACATGCAAAATGGATAAATGATTTGAATTGAATACCTTAAATGATCTTCGACTGCCTACACAGGAATTACATACTTCATTATCTAACCATTCTGTTGACTTAGCTATTTGCTGCAAACTGGTTTTTGTCTTCAGAATTATACAGTATCTTTATATGTTCATGATGAAAACTTAGCTAGTTAACATAAACACCTATCTTTTTTTTAGTTTGACGTCAAGCTTGATGGGAAATTACAGAAATTAAACTTGGTTTATCGGTCTTGCTTGGCTAACCTCGTTTGTCACTGTATGCTGTGGAATATCAGTGTATTAACCTCACTTATTTGGGTTATTTTGTCCCTATAATGAACTAGTGGCTGGTTAAGTTTCAGCATATATCCAGAGGACTTGTTTGACGTCTGAGAAGTTACACCCTTTTGGTTCAGGTAAAATAGACCGATATCCATCAAGGGGATTTTATATTGCTTCGTTTTTTCTGTAGCATTTAATGGCTAACGTGGCTGCTGAAAGTAAAGACATAAAAAATTACAAGTCCTTGATTGCAGGTATTTGTTTCACTACTTAGATTAGGTGCTAGTTCACTGAGTCATTGACTGTCAAAGTGAGCTACAAATTAAGGTGCCGGTTGCTTTGTGAGGTGCGTAAAATAGTAAAAACTAGTGATTGAAGTTTCTTGGTGATATGATTCAATATCAGTCGCATCAACATAGATGTATCTACTCTATATCAAAATGGTAAACATCTCTTTACTAAATTCCTATTTCATTGTAGTACCGTTCTATTTCTGTTCTCGTTTTTGTATGGAGTTTTTGGAACAGCAGCAACTTAAATTGGTGCAATTTTGCGTAGAGTTGTATTTTGAGACATCAATCACTTGATCAGTGATATTTTGAAAGGTGGTTTTATTTAGTGTAAGCACCGATATTGCTTCTTGATCAATTGAACGATAGATTCGCAAAGGTTTTCATATTTATGCCCAAATAGTGTGAATCAAGTATTTTACCTGATAGAGTTTTATGCTCGAAAATTCTTTATTTCTTTGTGTCAGCATATTTGATTTAGTTAAGGTTTCTAATTTAAGAGTTATCTTTGTTTATTTTTTTGTAGGTTATTGTGGGATATTGTGCTTAGAAGATATCATCCATGAACTTGTAACAATCGGTCCGAATTTCAAAGCTGTTCAGCGCTTTTTGTGTCCATTCAAACTTATGCCATCCAGTCGGGATTGGATGTCAGGTTCACGAAGATGTCACGCACGCTCTGACTTTTTGACTGCTTTTCGCGAGGAACAAATCAATGAAATGATTCGTAGAATGATTTAAGAGCACAAATAAATATTGTCAATTAACTTTTATCCCTATTCTTTTATATGCATATGTTATAAATTGGAAGTCTGTTATTCAGTCTTTTCTAGTGCTGAGGGTGATTTTCCGCTCTCTATTTCTAGAACATTAATAGAATGGTCAAACGACTGCAATAATTAGGACTCAGAATGTTCCGTTTTTTCCAGCACTTCGTATGTTTGTTTGATAAGCAGTGGTATGGAAAGTTCTTGTCCTAGGAGAATTCAGTTAATTGATAAACACGTTGGTTTAAGGGCGTCACAATTGTGCACTCAGAGATACTATGTTAGATTTGTTGGCTAAGACATTTATTTTGCAATGTGTTGATACTCTCTTAGTTTGGTTGCCTTATGAAATTTTGAACCATGCACCTGGTCTAGTTTCCATTTCCGACGATCGCACTCCTAAACATCGCGCAGTCTACTAGTCGATAGTAAGCCCTGGAAAAGAAGGAAGCATGGGCGTAAGTGGTTAGCAGTTTTATCATGTAAGAAGCAATATCTTCGCCACTGAGACTCGAAAGCTTGAAGCCGTATGTTCCACTTGGGACGCAGAGTACCTCTTCGTCAAATTTCGAAGCCTTGTTTCTAATGTCTTGTTGACTGTAACCTAATTTTACTTGTCTTATCTCTCGAAACTACTTCTGGATAGTTGTATTGATGACGTAGCCGCCCCCCCTTATCGTTCAGTGATAGAATGTTTTATGTTTCACTTAGTACATATACCTTTGTGCAGACTTTGGAAGTAATTTCGTCAATAAATGGAGTGTTTCTATATAAATTTTCTTAGGTTATCCGCGTAATTCAATGAATATTCTCTGTCTGATGTTACATAAATAAATTTTGATTAACCATTTCCCAACTAGGACTAGATCTCTTCATACATATAACACACTTATGAAATTTCAACTTTTCGGTGCTATGTCAGACCTACCGATCAGTATGAAACTGGTGTTTCTGCACTACTTAAATAGAAATAAAATATCCTATTTACCTTACTGTCTAGCAGTGAATCAAGAAGGTAGCCGACGAAATACTGTACAACTAAGTTAGTTTGAAATGGTATAGCTCTGTGATGTCTCGAAAGCAAATGAAGTATGTGAGGCTACTTGTCCGGATGTTGGCAGAGGAAATCTGACGAAGTTTGTAAAGAGTCGGTATTGTGGTCCGCCAGAATAGTAATTCAAACTTTTCCACACATCTGAAAAGTTTCTATCCTTACTTGGTATATTGTTTAGTTAACTGATATTTCCGATTGCGTCAGGTGGTTGCGTTTTAAGATTAAATTTTTTAATAAGTAGCCCTGCACAAAATATCGTGTTCTAATACATTGCATAGTTCAAATAAACTTTATTTTATCATAACAATAAATCGTTGTGCTTCATTTATTTATAAAAACTATAATTATTGTCAGTACATTAAGAACGAAGCAATTAAGAAATTACTTTATCCATGGTATTTACAGTTTAAAACGTGTTTAAAGTACATTTTGTCCGGCAGTTTCTTAAGATATTGGATTGGTAAGGCGAACCTCTGCTGGGCCAAACACTCCCCTTTATCTCTTCATATTAAGTTAGTTTCCGTAACAGCTTATATATATAAGCCTCGTGTCGGTAGGTGCTTTTCTTTCATACATTGAGTTGAATGTATAATATTCAGATAATAAAGCTTATTCCCAGAGGTTTTATACTTATTTCATGTCGTCTCAAAGTGTCCATTGGTTAAGAATGAGATATCTGGTTTGCTTACATATCTAGAACTTCGTGTTCCTTGCTTATATTCGATGAGACTGCAAAGTGTTCCTAAGTTATTTTGTGCATCATTCACACTCGAAGTGTTATCACCCTCACCATCTCCTGTAGTTTCTTTTTTATCGTGAACTAAGTACTCGTCGAACAACTGCAAATTTTTTATTGTGAATTCCTTCCATATTGTTGAGGGTTGTTGTAATAGTACGCATAATCTAAGTAGGCGTTTTGTGGACTTCACTGTCTCAAATGTTGGAGGCAGCATTATTTTGACGTGAGCACATGCACCATGAGGTATGTGGGCATTCTTCATTAGCTCCAGTTTAAAAAGTTCCACCCAGGTGGTTTCCCCTGTGTCCTAGAGAATTAATTATTATCATGTGTTACATACTACTTACTGTTTCCTGATAACAAAGTTGGGCTGAAACACGTTTGCAGTAAGAGTTTGTGAAGTGGATTTCTTTGAGAAAAGTGCATACATCGGGTTCGAATTCGTATTCTTTTATTAGACACCCTTGTGCATTGACGTTCTGAGTTGATAACCGTAGACCGTAAGTTCGTTCTTCCCTTATTTGTAAAACAACCATTGTTCATGTCTCATGTATTATTCAAAGTCAGTAGAGATTGGAGAAATCTGAAACATCAAAATAAATTTAAAGCTTTAGTTCTTGTTAATTATTTGAATTGTTTAGCAGGTTAAAAGACAAGTATTGTTTATGGTATTTCTGACTCCTCACAAATATTGCTGAAAGCAGCAATCACTAGAGAGGTATAAATATTCAGTATTCTAAACTAAATAATGCGTTAAAATTTGGTATCTTAATCTTGAAAGTAAATAGTTAGAAAACTGATCATTTTTACAATCCATTTATATCAAGTACGTCGATAATTATGTAAAAAATATTCACTTTATAATAGATCGTTTGAATAATAGCGCCTTCTCAGTTCGTGATGATGTTGCAAAAGTCTGTTCTGATGCGTGTCCGCAAGATAACTCAAAACACAACGTATTCGTAGTGGTAAATAATTTATAAAACGGTCAGCCTCAACATCACTGTTTACCATTTGGTGCCGACTTTCACTACTGTATGAGTAGACTGGTAAAGCTGAAGGTTAGAGATCAAGCATCGACGCCATTCTGGTACGCTATCGTGTTACGTTCGATTGTTTGTGCGGACTCTCCAGCCTACGTTTCTGATTCTGAAATACACTTTGGAAGATCAAACAAACTGTTGTGATTTAAGTTTTTAACCCCTATCTGGTCATATGGAGCATGTGCATAAGGCGTTGAATGATATGTACGCGCATTATCATGTAGTTGCATACTACCTACTCGTCGACATTCTTTGTTTCGTAAATATCGACCTCTCAAGAAGGATGAAGATCGAGTAACTATTTGGTTGAATCGTGATTAATAAAAAGAAACAACAGACAATGGCTTAAATACTGAGACGGCTAGGAGCTGAGCCGTCTACCCCTTTCTTTGAAAAGCAATTTTAAAAAACATGGAGTTGGGTCGCAAAAGTGTTAGTATTGTTCAAACCAAAACCTGACTTCAGTTCATGAAACCCCTGAATAGTTGGTTTGAGCCACATGGAGAGGTATGGACTACCTAGTTGGGGTCCTCGAGATGCTAAAAATCAGTGGCTGGATACTATTGATGATGGGCCCCAAATCGTTTAGATGTCTTCAATCTTTGAATCACCGTATCCTTTCAACCTTAATGGTTTCCTGTGATACTATTTTCCCCATCACAATTCTGTTCCTCATATTTCTCTTTATTCCCTTTTTTCTTTCTTTTCTGTTTGAGTGCTACTTGACAACTTGAAATGTTACACTTCTGTGTCAAGTTCTGTGCTGAAACTCACTCAGTCAACTCATGAATTTTGTTCATCGAATACCATGAATGGTTTGACCGCAAGAAAAAAATACTTCTTAGGCAACAATTCAAAACAGTAGACAGAAAATATACCATGCTTATTTATGGCTTCAGAGAAGCTCGTTGGAAATCTCCCTCATATGCTTAAGTCTTGGTGACCACAATATTTAGGATGGGAAGGCATGAAGTGTACCACCCATATTGTGAATTAAATATGGACATTTGATTAATAATACTTTCTAAACGTTAACTGAATTTACCAGTGCAGTATGTGACAAAACTTTCCCGTTGTTACGCTTGCTGAAATAAGTCAAATAAATGGACAGTATCTATTATTAATTAATGATTTATTGTTAGACTGGAAGGAAAGAGCAACATTTATTGTGAGAGATGTTGTGAAATTAGGTCCATACATACCGGGAAGACCGAAAAGTCTTTAATCTGTCAAAGATTTCTGTAAAACTGATCAGATCACTACTCAAGCGACGTTACTGTTCGTCAATTAACATTCGATTGAAATGTCTTTAAGATACCATTTTCATGCTAATAAATAATCCCATCACTGTCATGAACTAATGTATATTCATTTTGGCTAGGCGAACCTCACTTCACCCAAGTAAAAAATTTGTCACCGCTAATTTACCAAAAACCGCAAAAATATGCCCTGAAATTCTGCCATAAGCCTTAGACTGCCCAATATTTTCTATTTGGTAGCATCTAAAAGTAAGGTTCACAGGGAATAATGCATTTCTACCAACATTTATACAAGACGAACGAATAACTATCAGGTTTTAGCAGTTGGCTAAGATTTTGTCCTAAGACTGAACTCAAGCCGTTTCTAAAAGATTAATTATATATCATTGCAGCATATTTTCGGGAAATCAAGCTGTCTATTTATGTTAATACCTATATTTACACACAATATACACAAGTAAACAAACATATTATAAGCCATTTAAAGACTTCTGGGTTTTATACAAGTATACATTGACAGATCATGTAATTGGAAGTATTAAAAAAGAAAAGTTTTCTACTAAGTCTAGGTGATATTCGGTTATAAAAGTAAACCTACGAAAAGCAACTTTTTTATTTCATGCGCCTGCATATCGGTAATAGCAACATTCTGTGAATGAACTAGAAAAACAATATCTATGAAGTTTAAAAGTCGTATTAGAGTTACTAACGTCAATTCTGATAACGATTTAGTTGTAACTGTTTTCATAAGAATTCGGAAATTGTTTAAATTTTAGGTTGATAATTCAAATATCGCCACTATCTATATAAAAGGGATCCTCATGTACTGTAGAGAATTGTGAGGTATAGAATTCAAAAATTATGGTCACTGCATGAAGCTTTTTAACGTCTGGTGCCAAGGATGTACACCGAAGGGAAGGATTGGACCGATTAATCCTCTGATCAATCTTACCCAATCGGACAGATGTGTGGAATAAAAGGGGACACTGTGAGGAGTCGGTGAAAAAGGGGGCAATTCTCTGCAACTTCCTATTTGTTTCCCTTTTTTTCTAAATGGAATGTCCTACTTGTGTTCACCTTTTTAAGGCTTTGTTCCCCTATTTTGTCCAATTTGGATAACAAACTGATTAAAACTGGAATCTTTTATAGTGTTAACAAGTGTTAAAGAACAGCAACTTACTATTATGACACTAAGTGAAACACCTCATGTATGTTACAGTAAACATTTACTACGTAAATCACGAGAAGAAATAGTCTTTAGCTGCATCTAATATCACCGTCATATGCTCGTCTTTGCCGTTTTCGTGGACCATTTAAGATGAAAGCAATCAGTCAAACATTATATATACTAGGTGTATATAGCGTCCTTTAGGTTTTCCATTCGTGATACTTTGATAAATAGTCACCATCTCTGCTTGGCAATATAGGGCCCTACATAATCACCTTATTTTGATTGGAATTTAACCTGCACCAAAGATAGGACTAGACACATTACACTAGATGCTGATTAGTGTTCAATCGAAAATATCCGAGACAGTCCTACAGGAGGCCACTCGCGAGCCCGAATAGCTAAGTGCAGTGGTAAGGTCATTGACTGCGGTCCTCGTTAACGCGAATTTGAATCTCAGAAGGTAGTTGCAGATACGCATTGTTGACTGGTGAATGCCAACTAGCACAAAACCTGGGTTTACCAAGACTTCCTGCCAGCTGCCTCCGACCGACGTGTACAGCCACCTTAACTTGAGAATGGATTTGTTGTCGTCATTTTAGCCTGCCGACTGTTTCGGCCATACGCTTATTCTGTAGAAGTGTCGCTGACATCTTATTCTAGAAAACAAATTAGTTAGGCTGCTTGAACGACTTCGAGCACGCTTCTAGTTGGTTGCGGCTAGAAATAACACTCATGGTAGATGTGTGGCCATCTATCTACCTAGATATGAGTAACACTGGTAACACTACCTGCTGACTCTCTAGTCTCGCCCACGTATTCTGGTAGGTGGGCTGTTCTGAACACCACTCCATCTAGCAAAGGGAGAATATATCTCTCATAGCTGCTGAAGGGTGTATTTATTGATGGTTGATTTGAGGAGAGTATGGAGATTCACACCACAACAACGATGCCTTTCAAAAGTGATTGTACATCCATTTTCTTAGCAAGCTTAAACAGCCAGCAGAAATTCCTGGTTCTTCACTTCAACAATTATAAATATTTGTTGTGTGAACTCCTACCCAGCTTATATGTAGGCGAACCTAACGTCTCCTGATATTAATATACTGTCTGGATGCAAATGTGTTCATGGTAGACCGGCAAAGAAATCCCTCTACTCTATTTTATTGAATATTTCTGCAAAAGAATGAATGTTAAAATATATTTATAGTCATCCTCCTACCAAATGAAAACACTGCTTTGTTGTTACAAAGTTGCTCACGGTTGTTCTACATCTCTGCTTGGCTTCTGCATCTTGGAATCGTGTCTAGACTAGTATATGTTTCAGTTCTCACAGAGGATATTTCTACAGCTGTGATTAATCTTTACTGTTTGTCGGCATGATTTCGGTGGCTATCAGTTAAAACAGTAACTCAGTGTCTAAATTTTTTCATCGTATCAGTACCTCTGCATAATAATAACGCTTGGAGAGACGTTTAATTTTCCGAACCTGTGCAAGTCAACAATCCTGTGTAAAGTGACGTTATAGGCGTTAATCCATAATCTTTTCTGCTATTCTGCTGCTGAGATTACTCTTCTATATACCTCCTGGTCGAGGTCGAACAACCCAACATCTAAACTGAAATGACCATTTAAGTAAATTCAAACTCAAATTCCATGAACGATCCGATGCAACCACTTGAAAACGCTGGCTAACATTCTGTACAAGGAGTATTCTTGATCTGATATAAAGAAACAACTGGTTTTCAAACAGTTTTCAATAAATTACTCAACTTACATGTACAGTCTGCCATGCTGACGCAAATGGCGCAAATGGATAGTTCTAGAATTCGCGAAATATACCCATTGAGACATTGAAATAAGAACAAATTAGTACAGCGAAGAGTCTCTTTTCGGCGAATTCATTCACTTAGCTGTACAGTCGCAAATATATATACAATTATTTTGTGTGTGTGTACATTAGGTTTGTCAAAGTAACAGTTAGTGTGGGTTGTTGATCATATCATCAAGATAATGAAGAAGTTAAAATGTGTGATTAATACTCAAAGTTGTAGCTAAGAGGGGTG